TACTTATCGGTACTTTTGTTGGTACCTTTTGGTACTTTTCTAGAACAGTTTTGTCCATATGTGAGGAATGAAATGCATGTAGAAATATCATCTAAAACATACTGAGATAAATCATGATGAACTTTTAAGAATTTTTTATTCTTCGTCTGATACATTTTGTCAAACAATATAAATTGTCCTATTATGCAAGTATTTTAAGATACTGTGATTGATAATGCTCCAATCAATTGTTAGTCCTCATAATCTTGAAACAAGAAAGTAAACAAAACAGAAACAAAAACATGTCAAAATAAGAACAACAGGTTGAAATAAGAACATGTCAAAATAAGAACATGCCGAAATAAGAACATGCCGAAATAAGAACATGTCGAAATAAGAACATGTCGAAATAAGAACATGTTGAAATAAGAACATGTCGAAATAAGAACATGTCGAAATAAGAACATGTCAAAATAAGAACATGTTGAATAAAGAACATGTTGAGGGAGGAGGAATTTTATTGCCATGCAACTGTATTAACATGTACAACTGTAAACATGTATATAAATTCAGGTAATGTATGTACACAGTCCAGTAAATTGCAATAATTATCTTTAATAAACTTCTTTATTTTTATGAACCCGTGTTCTAAACTGTATATTCAAACAGGATATAACCCTCACACTCAGTTCTTACAAATGCATGGGCAATAGAACCCCCCCCCCCCAACAGGCGACATGTTCTTCTTCAATGCAACTATATAGTATGTCTAATATATGACACTTTCTCTCTTGCTCTTTGAGCCAACATTTAATAAACTCTAAATTAAAAGTTTTTTGTAATATTTACATCCTATTTACAGACACATATACTGCATATTAAACACTTGGGTGAAGCCACATCAGGGCAAGAATTTTTCAAATATAATAAAATGGGTGAGGCAACGATGAGGCAAATTAGGCAAAGTTGAGGCAAATGTGAGGCAACGATGAGGCAAGCAATGCAAATACCTCATCAATGTTTTACAGAAAAACTAATTAGACATTTATCTATTCATTTATGAAAATTTAAATTTGCCTCACCTATTTAGAAGTCTGACTTTGCCTCCCCTTTCTCCATTGTTTTGAGGAGATTCAATGACACGATCATTTTATAACAGACTACCTTTTTCAAATTTTTATTTGGCAAGACCTTAAATTAACTAAACATATTTGAAATTTGGCAGACCCAAGAGTTCAATAGTACAATACATGAGGTTCATTACATCATGAACTCTGTATATTTATGAACATTACAGTCCGATGTGTACTTTACTAGAATCAACCCGGCCCATACTCTGGGCTTTAATAGAATTCTGCCCCGGATTGTAGAAATTCATAATTGTCATTGTTTTTATACAATTGTACTTTTTCTTTGTTTTGCATCAAGTCGATGAATCCCCACCCCCTTCTACCTATATACGAGAGGCGAAGTGTGTAGCGGGGGGGGGGGAAAGGCTTGAAACGTCACTACTTTTTCTTATTTGGCACCGTCCATTTCAGCAATTTTCCATATTTACTTTTGGCAAATCATAAGACCAAAATATTAAATTGCAAAATTAAACAAGTGCCAGAGATTGCATTAAACCAAAATGCACCAAATGAGATTGCTTCAACTTTTGATTCCTGTATTATATACATGTGTATAGATATATATAATTTATGTACTTTATAAATATATACAGTGAGGTTAATCGCTTGCATAATACAGTTTAAATGTATTGTGTGTGTGAAAGCTCTCAACAAATGTAAAGATGCCTTGAATGGTGAGGGGGTGTATCAAAAAATGTATGAGAACACCTCTAATAGCCACCTCAAAGTACGACCTCTTTGCAGATGTTGAAATCATATGATGTTTACTTTTACTGCCAATTAAAAAATAAAATTGTTGTCAGTGTTAGTACTAAATAAAATAAACAAATAAACACAAAGTTCAATGAGAATTTCCTTGCATTACTCAACCACAGATTTGTCTTGATATGAGTATGTGTTTTACATTTTGTCATGTGACTACAATCAACCAATCAAATTACAGCTATGACATTGTCATGTGACTTCAATGAACCAACTGAATTACAGCTATGATATTGTCATGTAAGTTCAATCAACCAATCAAATTGCAATTATGATATCGTCATGTGACTTCAATCAACCAATCAAGTTATACATATGATATTGTCATGTGACTTCAATTAACCAATCAAATTACAACTATGATGAATCAAAATATGCAGCAAAATGCCACAAAATATATCTTTTTCTACCAAATTATAAATGATTGACTCTCAGAAAAAGCTGTGAAACCTTGTGAGTGAGGTGACATAATGAAATATAATCAGTCAAAATCTGGTGAAAATAATCATTGCTATATAAGCAATTAATACTAATTAGTTAATTACTATGATAAAGTGAGCATAACTGAATAATTAAAATCTGTGACAGAGCAAATACAAGAAAATTCTTGTCAAATAATAAGAAAATGTACAATCGAAGTTTATTTATCCACAGAGGCAAAACATTCACTTCAACAGTTAAACTTACCAAAGTACATTTGGTTAAATGATAATATCAATAGGAAGTATTATGGACTGAAAGTTAGCAAGCTACTTATAGGCAGAAAGTGCGGTCTCATGATTTTCTGACTACATATTCTGATAAATAATGCCTCTTAGATCAAAGAATTATATGTAATTAAAGAGTGGAAATCATGTGTATTAAGTCTCTCAAAGGGTAAAACATTTCACAATTATGAAGAAAACAAGAAAACTCTATGACAAAAGCTTAAAATAACACTACGAAAGAAAGCCTTTTATATATGTTAACCAAGTATATATCATTGAGAAACACAGGTGGACTGATTTAGAAATACGTTGTGAATAAGAAAAAATTTACTCAATTTTTAAAGGATTGTTCTATTGAATGGGAAACAAACAGTGCCATTGTATGGCAGTGTATTTGAAATACTAACGCCTTAGAAATCTATTCACTGTAATTCAATAGAGTTTGCACAGCTTAAAGGGTCTATTCAAATCTAGAAAAATAAAGTAATTCAAAAAAGGGTGTCAAAAGAAAGAGCATTTTCACTTTACAATAACTCAGAAAAACATGTTTACATGTGATCTACGCCCTGGTTTCCACGATCCGAATTGATATTCATCAAGTTTTCACCAGATATAAGCATATAAAACATACAATAGGCTTTTAGAACATACAATGAGATCCAGATAAACCTGTTAATCATGACAATAAGGGGTGATTAATCTGATTAACTATACAATAAGAGCTATTAACCATACAATAAGGGCTGATTTATCTGTTTAAAGGCTATATAATTTAGAATGGAATTTGTCTGAAACTGTATTGAGTTAAGTGAATGTTTCGCTTCTGTGTATATAACATCTGTATAATATATTCACGTATAAGTATAATATATTCATGTATAAGTATAATATATTCATGTATAAGTATAATATGTACTCATATATAAGTATAATATACTTATATATAACTGAAATATACTCATACATAATTATCAAGCTTGATTTGCCAAAGTGGAAAGAATATGAGGATGAACCCATTCTCCAAGCAGAGGGCCCAATTCTCAAGTTTAATCCTCCAAGACAGAGACTACATAGCCCTGTATTTGGAAGTCCTCTCTTAAGACGAGTGATATTTATGTTGGAACGTTATTTCCTAAACTATGTGCAGTCAACTACACAGAATAACAAAAACCTGAAGATCATCTCAATTTTTTGGGGTCTGTGGATTTGACTGTATAGGGAAACCTATAACTCTGGAACCACTTTGGCAAACTAAGCCTGATACCTGCTAAAAAGTTACCCTGTAATTCCTAGTAATGATATGTAAACTAGAACTCTTATGACGAGTTGATGATCCACTGAAACCAAATATAAATATATCATATTTTCTCAATATTGGATTAAACCATACTTAACAAGATGAAGAACACAGTATTGTATCAATTTGTAGCCATATCTCAACAATTTAAAGTGGCAATATGTTATCATTCTTGAAAACAATTTAAAGCGGCAATATGTTGTTCTTCAGGAAAACAGTTTAAAGTGGCAATATGTTGTTATCCCTTAACAATTTAAAGTGACACTATGTTGTTATTCGTGAACAATTTAAAGTTGCAATATGTTGCCAATGCAGAATATGCCAAATCACTATTAGACAGTGAATTAAAAGATACACAAAGCCATACAGTCGCAGATTACACTTTAATATTCAAATATGGTGTAATGGTTCAAATGATCCTAAACTGGGATTAAAGAGGGAATTGAACCATAGTGTAAAAACCCAAATATCTATACATGTATACATTGTTGAAATATAAAATAAATTGACCATAAAATTAAAAAAAATTGCCAGCACTGGTTGTTTCAATGAAGGAGAGTGACTTAACTCAAAAATTTAAAAAATAAGAAAACATGAAGAGAAAATCAGATATTAGGTATAACCTCACTGATTCCATTGAAGAAAATATACAAATGTTGAAACATCAATGCAAAAATCTAAGTATGCAAAATTACATGTACAACTGAATAAATTTCATACAAATAAATGATGATGGTAAGGTTGATAACATTTTTAAGGGTGTATTAAAATATATATAGAACTCACTGTATGGCTCAGTGTTTCTCCACTCAACTGTAAAACATTATACATTTTAGTTTTCCCTCAAACATATTGTCACGAATGAATTACATTTTTTTGAATTGTTTAAGTCACTTTACAAGAGCCTATTGATCATTTTTTTGAGTTCCCAACAATCTAGGATCCTGGCTATTGGCCTGTTTTCTTGTATTCGTGTTAATGTACAGTTAATGTACAGTTTTTCACTCAATTTTGTATTTTGAACATAAATTATTTGAGAGATTTAACAATAATTGCATTGTTTTCATCTTGTCCATATAGTGTAACTAGCCAAGATTCGGTAGACCATATCTAACAAGCTTAACCCCTTCACTAATATATCCAACATTATCACAATCTTTAACCTTAACCAACAACCTCTGAAATCGCCACGGAAACTCGTCATAATCGTGTTATGTTTCATTCAGACAATTTCTGAACTTGATTATTTTTTGAAAATTCATGGGCGATTTTTGAGATACCTGGGAAAAATTGTGACCATGTTGGATGAGATTTTGGCAAAGTTAGCGATTGACCTACCTGCTAATATATATGTATAACAAGGCATGCTATGGATTAATAGTTCATGTATCTAAACCCCTGCTGTAGTCTGTGCTCCATATACCTGGCCAATGTTTTTTCCATTGTTCTGCCACTGTCAATGATTGTGTGTATTTGGTGATTTGATGGATTCATGTAGCTTTTAATATTGTCCGCGTTAACAAACATTGTTTTGCACGTAGGTTCGGAATTTAAGTTCCCACTGATTTGGCATGTATGGTATACCATGGCAGTTTTGATCAATGGCTGTTGTTGTTTGAAAGGAGATACAATGTTAAAGGAATGCAATGATGCTGCTTCAGGGGTCAAAATATACGATTTGTGGTGTACAGGGACTGTCACATCTTTTTCCCAATTTGTCATGTTAACGAGTATTTCATCAGATCCTTCCACGGGAGAGTATTGTCCAAGTTTATAACTGCAAAATGTGGATATATCTTGTTCACACTTAGCTTTACAGATGCTTTAAGTGGAACTTCAACTGGCCATTTAAGAGCTGCAGTTATTTGAGATCAAAATGTTTGTCCTCTAAAGTGATGTCACTGATTCAGTTCTGACTGTGATGTCACTATGTTACAGATAGCGTAACTATGGTGTTACTGATTCAGTATGTTGTTACATATGGTGTTACCATTTCATTCAATGTTTCATCAGAGTTTTCCTCCTTGTCGAAAAGATTATAAGTTTCTCATATACATTTGGTCGTCATGTTTACAGTTAGTTGTGGATTAATTAGTGTTCTTGTTGCTTGTCATGGGAATAATTATTTTGTTCCATGTCATGAAGGCGATTATTAATTTGAAACTATAATAACTAGAAGTGTTATAACTAAATTCACAGTTTGAAAATGGCAAGATGGTGAATTAATACATCTCAAGATTCAATCAGATCCTGAATGTGCAAAGCGATTTCCTCTGGAACTATGTCTATATAAGGTAATGTGTTGTGATCACATGACGGCTCCAGGTATCGGGTGACGATAATGATCCTCAGGCTTGACGAGCACGTAAGCGACTGGTCTGTGGAGGTCCTGGGAGGGTACATATGGGGGACAGCATGGGACCATGTAACCTGGGAAATGGCCAGAGTGAGAATGAGCTGCAGGGGGTCCTGTTGTTCCCGCGCCTGGGGTGCTACCACTCATCAATGAGGCTAAACTAGTGGGAGGGTATGGATATGGAGTATACATCCCTGCAGGGGAGATATCAGATTTTGTTTCAGATTTTCCTGTGGCTTCATAGTGTGGGTAAAGTGAATGGGCGGCGGGGCTTGGGGGGTAGATGGATCGGGCTTTTTCATTGGCTGCTGCAGCTGCTAGACTCAGAGAGTACGCGCTCATTGTGTCGCTCATTGACATACTGCTTGGCATGGATATAGGCACAGAAAATGGGGACATACCTCCCAATGCATTCATCCCGGGGATAACAGGTATCGGGAAGGCATATTTGTCTTTTTTAAGTAACGATTTAGGTTTACGACGTGGTCTGTATTTATAGTCGGGATGTTCCTTCATGTGAAGAGCTCGGAGTCTTTTTGCTTCGTCAATAAATGGTCGCTTCTCTTCTTCCGTAAGAAGCTTCCAATCTGCTCCAAGGCGTTTCGAGATCTCGCTGTTGTGCATCTTTGGATTTTCTTGCGCCATTTTACGACGTTGGCCACGGGACCACACCATGAAGGCATTCATTGGCCGCTTAACATGCTCCCCGGGTGATGGTGAGCCGCCTACCTTGGAACTGCTGGATATACTAGAATCCATACTGTCAAAGCTCTCAGATTCCATCCTGAAATGATGACACAATATATTTGAATTGATTACCCTGATTCACACTGTACATTACCATACTATACTCTTACTATGGCAGAAGATTTTTTCAATTCTGATACTGACAAGATTTATGGTCTTAAATGGAACTTTCAATGCATTTTAGTTGGAAGAATATCAAATGAATGTTAGAAAAAGTAAAACCTGTAGATAGTGAACACCTATGGGGCAACAAAAAGGCAGGTGTTCACTAGAGAGGGGATTTTGTACAATGTAATGTAAAATAATGTCTTGAAGTGGTGTTCACTTAAAACAGGTGTTCACTAGAGAGAGGGGTTCAGATTTAACTGTACTTAAGCAGGCTGATAGAATCTAGGCTACATCAAATATTTTTCCCAAGGGTGTAGCACAATTATTCTCTGAAAGGGTACTTTCTTATGGTTAATCATTTAATTTTTTTGAATGAAATATGATTTACATCAAATGTCAGCTTTGAGATTAAGAATGGTGTTAGAACCCCGAGTGTGGCATTCACAAATTTTAATAAATTCTATTGAATTGGGATTTTTAGATAAATAATCACTGTTTGCGTTTGAAAATACCTGAACTGTAGTTTAAATGAGAAATGGCACATTATATTTGTATTATATTCATGCTATAGCACTTTTATAGAAAAATGGAATTTGAACATTGTCAAATAATGTGAACATAACTCAAAAAATACTATGCTGTAATAGCAAATCTTGGAATATTCTATTCTACACACCACCTACTGATGGAAGAATAGCCAGAACAATTAAACATATTAATTATTCAATTTAATATTCAAACAATTTACTGATTGTTCCTGATGAACTGTTATGTCTATATTTACCTGGAACTCATTAGAAAAATAGGATATTACTTTTATTTGATATTATTGACAATCTTCATTAAGTCAACTTCCTTTGGTATAAAAACAGACACCTTCAATGTAATTATCAATATCACTTTAATTTTTTTTGGGGGGGGGGTTAATTTGACAAAATCTCAGGCAAAAATGTGAGGATTGAAATTTCTACCCGTTCCGTTCAACCAAGGGTCACATAACTACTCTTTGTATAATGTCTCACTGAGAACAATTAAGAATCTCAATATATATTCTCATCTCAATCAGAGCATCTTGCATCACCAAACAACAAAAATGGGAATTTCCAAGAAAACTTATTTTTTGTCACTTTTTAATATTATCTGGATATGCCATTTGCAAATTTCCTGCTGATATATAAGGGAGGATATTGTTACCCTCCTCAGATAATAAACAATATAAGGTTATTAGTGTTGCTATTAAAAGCTGGTGTGATAACATGTCTTACATCACTGTTTTGCTATTATGTAGATGCTTTATTATAATTATCTAATAATAAAAAGGTTATTGTTTGCAAATATACTACATAACTATTTATTAATTTACCAGTCATCAGTGATTCTCTTTTTCTCAACTGGGTGCAAAATGCTTGTTATTTTTTATCGATTTTAGCAAAGAATTGTTTTCCAAATTGTTCAAATTTTTCACATGATATAATATAAATGATGCCCCAAAATCTCAATTTTAGGCAGCATTAGATTATTTTAAATCACTGAATTCAGTTTGTGAATGTCTCTGATAAGTTTGGAATTATAAGGATTCTTGGAGAAATTCTGCAAAATTTCCATTTATTTTTAATTTTTTTCATTTGAAACTATTTGCTATAGTAAAATAACCTCACTGGAATACATTTTGCCTCACAAATTTTAATCAGCCTCACAAATTATTATTAGATCATGGCTTTATATCCCTGGATAATAAATTAATCATCCATAGTTTAGGAAAGAAAAACAGATGATGGGAATCAGAATGTGTCACTGAATATAATATTATCTTCATCTCTGAATCATTCTTACATACAGATCATGAATATATATAAATATACAGAATATGTTGATTTGGACACCAATCAGTCACAGGCTATCAAACCACTGACAGGTTGAAACATGAATTAAAGCTGAATGCACCAAGAGTAAACTTCTGTTAATCTATTACATGTAATCCGCCTTTGCTGGATTTTTCAAGATAAGTCAAAATATAAAGTAAAATAAAATTACCAAACTGACCATATAGTACTCTTGACACTTAGACACTCATGTATATATAAACAAAATCAGAATGCTTTATATGTCTTATTGTGTACTGATTCTGAAAATGTTGCAATGTGAAATAAGAACTCACCTGTAAATTTAGTCAAGTATGGAATTCAAATGAAAATCAAATTCAGAAATCCCAAGTTGTGTAGATATGTCTAATGGTGAACTATGAGACGTTATGCGTAGATATCAATTGTAAGTAGTCTTTATTCAAGCTGTAGTAGCTGTCGTTGTGATAGTATGTCTTCTGTTTCAGCCATATATTCACCAGTAATCGACTTCTGAACTTTCCAATCAACTCGGCCAGACTTTTCTATTCCGATCTTCGCATGCTTATACCTACTTCAAAGAAGTTTTTCTATACCTTGTCACCGTATTGTAGCGATCCCAACTATGGCCAATCAGAACGCGGTATAGGTGGGGTTAAACACCTTCAGTGATGATTGACAGCTGACGTGTATTGTTACAACTTTTTTGATTGGTTGATTGATTATCTGAGAGCACGTGGATAAAATAACAAACTGCGCAAGGATTCTGGCGGGTTTTCTGTTCGTTGAGCTCATGAAAACATTAAACTGTCTATTTCGACAACTATCCGCATCGTGGCTGTATATCAGCGTTTCCAAGTTGATAATGTATATATTAGCATCATTTATTTTGTCTCTTGAGCTTCAGATCGGTTTCCTATCGGCTCTATCGATTGTAACTGTTATACTCGATCTGAGACATATCGGAATTGAACTGTCAAAATCGAGAGTCAGAGGCACCACCCACACAGGGTTAGATTTTAGTTTTGGCCCGTCTTTATTCGATTTTTTTTAAAATTTAAGTTACTTTTGATATCATTCCAAATAGTACAATCGGAAAGTGTTATTTTCCTTTCTTAAATTATATTAAAATCAACGTGTGTCTTTAATATCAGAAAGTATGCATAAAGAAATGCAATGAATTGTTTTGTGTTAAGAATAACATAATAGTTTTATTATATTTACTGACTTTCATATATAGGTACATCAACGAAATATTTTACATTGCAAGCATTTTACGTTTAAGTGTAAAATAAGAATAATCTTCAACAATAGTAACGATTAGTTATTTCTAAACAGTTTTACAAGTCACAATGTAACAGCTCAGATGGCATAAAAGTGATATTCAATTAAAGATAACTAAAGATATTGTCCAAACGGTCAATATTTAATTACTTAATGAATAAACTCGTTTCTCAAGACACATCCCTGAGAATTAATTTTTGAATTAAAGATTTAAAAAGTATTTAGGGTTTGTGTTTATGATGAATGACATTCGTGTTGTTAATTGAAAGATTTTCTGTAAATCACTAGAAACAATAGTTAATTATGTTCCTATTATGTCGTATTGTTGTCCTCCCATCAGAAAAGTGCCACGGCACCCAATTACTATTCTTCTATTTTTTCTCTTAATTTAAATTTATTGCTTTATTTTTATTTTATTTCTATACAATTTTAAACATTACCTACATGCCCGTTGAGTCAAATATTACAATTTTCTTTTTATCATTCTATTTTTTCAATTTAAATACGTAAACATCGTGACATTTTTCGTCCAGTGTGTTTATCGTAGTTATTACTTGCATTGTCTTAGAACTAGGAGAGGGAGGTATTATCGTCTGTTGTCCCGGGTACGAAATGCGGCCACATTTTGCACAATCCATGTCATTCCTCTTTAACATTGTGAAAATTCCTCGCTTTTTCAGGGTTTTTATCATAAGCAAAATGCAAAGTTCACGTGTATGAGGTTTATTCTGAATGAACAATCGATTCTATCAACTTTTTGTAATTTTAAAAATGTTTCATGGTTAGATTTTGATACGGGTGCTTTTGATACGAGAGGATCGTAATAATTCACTCTCTGATAATTTCTTAGTTGGACAACTATATCTATGTTTGTCGAAATAATTGTATCTCTACTTATCAGAACGGTTCGTTCGATACAATAGTATCTTGCTTGAAGGTATATAATGAAATAAGATAAATATATACACAAATTACAATGTTTGTATCAATAAATTAAATATACAACCACGCCTGGTAAATAGTCGAATTCTATTTTTCTGAATTTTCAGTCAACGCAAAATGTCGGGTTTGATTTTAAAAATTACTTCAAATTCATTTTGTATATTTTGTTAATAAAAAGACACAGTCAGTTGTCACAGTCGGGTGAAACCAATTGGTTTCAGTTATGGTTTTTTAGAATATCCTCAAAAATGGCTAAAAGGATCAGGGAATTTTAGAATAAGAAAAATCGGTTAAAAGTAATGAAAGTTGAACATTTGAGCAAAACTGAAAAGATGCATGTGAAATGAGGATTAATTAAACTAAATGAAAATCACAAAATATATACACATGAAGCCTTCTCGTATGCAGATTTAGTGTGCAGATATAATAGACTGGCAAAAAAGCTTATTTGTAAAAAATCAAAGGAGCATTTTTGGTCATTTCTAAGGCTCATGTACCAGACTACCATCACTATAGGCTTTCTATAGTCTCCAATCTTCAGGTAGAATTCAAGCTTTGTCTAATTAACTGACAGCCACACGGTAAATATTAAAACACTAAAACTTTGCAAATATTAAATATTAAAGCGGCCCATTAGCGAGATATTCTTCTTCCTTCAGACATTGTCTAATGACTATCACGAAGACCTTTCATTAACGACTATTTACCAAAGTGCTAGATTTTTGAATTGCAGCTAAATGTATTTGAACTTCTCTCACAGTAAAAATCCAAATCAAGCGTTTAATTTTTGGTTTTCTAAGCAAATTAAAATAACTATATGAAATAAATTTGAATATGATGCAATAATTTCAGAATTCTAACGTTGATGTGGAAATAATTCCTTGGTTGATTCAAGGGGTTTCTCGTTTTTGTATGATGTATAGAATGAACCAGCGTGGAATTTATTGCGAGATTGGCACTATCGCTTAACTATGGTGATGTCCAATAGACAATAACGTCACAACAAACAAGACAAAATGAAATCTAAACCAACAAAATCCAATCTTCTCTCCGAGTTTTGTAAATTTGTATTTTCACAACGCTCTGTGTACACTAGCTAATGAAAATAAGGGGCAAATATGTGGAGTGAATAAAACAACAAAGCTGATTGGACATGATTAGCTTAACAGCCAATTACCACTAAAGATAGATTCTCTTCCGTAGAATGAAGCAATTTAAGATTTATGAAAATGACTGAAGAAACAAAAGTGTGAAGAGTCGTGTTAAGCTAGATTAATCAGATTTCAGTTTCTTATTTATCATCTTGTTTTTCACTAAGAAGATTTATTGTTTCTTGTTCATCGTTTACAGGAATTCGCATATTAATCAGATCATTTAGTGTTTCCTGTTCTTCACATACAATTTAGAAAATTCATTGTTTCTTGTTCATCATTTACAGAAATTCGCATATTAATCAGATCATTTAGTGTTTCCTGTTCTTCACATACAATTTAGAAATTTCATTGTTTCTTGTTCATCATTTACAGGAATTCGCATATATATTAATCAGTTCATTTAGTGTTTCTTGTTCTTCACATACAATTTAAAAAAATCATTGTTTCTTGCTCATCATTTACAGGAATTCGCATATTAATCAGTTCATTTAGTGTTTCTTGTTCTTCACATACAATTTAAAAAATTCATTGTTTCTTGTTCATCGTTTACAGGAATTCGCATATTAATCAGATCATTTAGTGTTTCTTGTTCTTCACATACAATTTAGAAAATTCATTGTTTCTTGTTCATCGTTTATAGTATAGGGCTTCACGTGTTGATTAGATATTTTATTGTTTTTTCATCATACATACTAATGTATACATAAACTTGTATATTACCCTGCGTGCAGAGTCTAGTTAAACTGAAGACGAAGCTCTCTTTTAAGAAGTGAAGTCAAACGAATGCAAATGGTACTTGTATATAGGAATTCGCTTATTAATCAGATAATTCATTGTTTCTTGTTCACCATTCATAGGGCTTCCCATGTTGATAATCATATTACATTGCAGGGGCGTAGCCAGCTTTCAGTCATGGGGGGGGGGCGATTTCTAAAAAAAATTCGGTTTTCAGACAGGGTGCGATTGTGGCATAAACAAGTCATCGCACCCCCTAACACATTTCTATTATTGTTACGTAGCCCTATAGTCTTGAAAATATACTCAAAAATTTGAAATGTAATGAGCTGTTATGAGTATCACAGTTCGGATCAGGATTTGTGAATCAGTGTCATGTTTGTCTTTAATTTAGAAATACACCCGTCTCCATAAGTTTAGAAATTTCAGCTTCTCTTTTAAAGCATTTGTCAAAGAATGTTTATGTCTTGCGATTTTTCACAACTATACTTTGTCTTAAAAAGAAATTGAGAAAAATCAAAGTCAAATACAGGTATAAGCATACTTTAACGTGCTAACCAATTTGGGTTTGATTGCTAAACCTTTTGAAGGGAGTGTACATCCATGAATTAATAATGCCCATTAGACTGACAGAAATTACAATTTATCTAAAGATGTCAAAAATAACGATACATCTGATTCAATAGAATAAAGTCAAAAGTTTATTTAGTCCCTTAGTATTCAAGTAGTTTATGAAAAGATTGCATTCAAATTCTTGAAACTCATCAGTTTTGCTCAAGCAGTCCAAAAGTGTTCAAGTAAAATTACAATGAGTAAACGAAAGAATTAACTATTGCATTAAGTTATGATTTAAAGTTGGAACATTTCTAGTAATTTTGCAAGAACTTCTCACAATTGAATTACACTGAATGAAAACACATTAATCCTTATCAACTGATATAAAAAAGATCTAATTCAAAAATTAAATTATGAATTTATCATTTTGAGTTATTAATGTCGAAGTCAAAACATGCCATAATAAATGAATAAAGGGACTGTTATTGTTATTGATACGAAAACCGATCTGATTATTTATTAGCTTTCTGTTTAACAATAACGCCAGAAATATACAATAAACTATAACTATTTTCAAAGGCTATTGTACATGATAACAATGTGTTTTTGTGTGCGTTTAATTTGTGAAATCAACTTAGCAACATTATATTTTACACAATGGTTTTATCCAAGTCATCGTGTGTCATGGTAAAGCAAACAGCAAGCCTATCATGTCTATTACAATGCTAAACTCAAGGAATTAGAATTAGAATGTAATTAGAATGGCTGCATGGGGCATCGTTTCAAAAAGCGTGTCAATATTCCTTAACAATCCTGTGTTTCTGAAAGAGAATTGAGATGTCTGAAAAACATTTTAACAGGGGAAGTAGGCTACCCTTAAGCCGAACATACACAAATGGGACAAGTCACACTTGCCCCATCGAGTCCATCT